GTGCTCACTCTGCTTGGGATGCTTCCCCGTCCTCACTTGGTCTCACTTTTACTAGTCTGCCAGGCGGAGTCGGCTGTCCCCTTGCTATGTGCCACCAAAGTCTCAGTCCTTCCCTTTATGCTTCTTACACCAGACTGTGATGTGCTGCTAACTTGATATGGTCCTCTGTCTCTTTTCACCATTAATGTGTCCTCACTGACTAAGCCAGTGCCTGATACGTATGGGAACTCAATACATACTCATTAGGTTCGTGGAAGATTAAATAAATGGAAGACTATACCAATAAAACAGAAATCATACCTGTCTGTGTCCCAGCAGGGCTTGATATGAGCACTTTCCTAGAGAATATGAAAGTAAAAGGGATAGTATATTGGAATTCAGGCTTCTTAAGGTACCAGTATGTCATAGATCCTGTGGACTGGTTTGTTCAACAGTAACAATTTTGCCCTCCTTCTAGGCATCATTGTTGTAATGCAAAGCTGGAGGAATAAAAACATTTCCCAGACTGCCTTGCAGGCAGTATTCTACATGTAAATTATATCCAGTACAGTTAGATGGACTCTTGGGACTTAATGGAAGGCAGGAGTGGGCGGAAGGCTACTTTCTGGCTGCTGTTTCTCCTGCCAAGAAAGGCCAACAGAACACAAAAACTTCTCCAAGGTTCACCACCACTTTCATGTGTTTCTGCAGGCAATTGTAGTGACAAGAATGGCAGGATAGAGTGTGAAGGCAGAAGCTTCTTGGTTCTGAATCACCACTATAGTGAATTAGCTAGCTATCATCTAACTAGTGTCTTTCTCTCTCTTTCTAGTTTATTTATTCACATATTTATAAAATAGAGCTAATAGAGACTCTTGAATTCCACTCCCCTAATCTTTCCACCAATTTTGTAACCACCTTTCTGCTTAAAATACCTAGAGAGTTTTCTGTACTGAACCATGGCAGATACACAGAGGATACAAGGACTGCTTCCCACTCATTGATCCAAGTAGCCAAACTTAATTGATTGTAGACATCAGTGCTATTCCTAGGATTTAAGTGAAGAAGAACTAAAGAGCCTCTTGATGAAAGTGAAAGAAAAGAGTGAAAAAATTCACTTAAAACTCAACAGTCAGAAAACTAAGATCACGGCATCTGGTCCCATCATTTCATGGCAAGTAGATGGGAAATCAATGGAAACAGTGAGACTTTATTTGGGGGGGCTCCAAAGTCACTGCAGATGGTGACTGAAGCCATGAAATTGAAAGACACTTGCTCCTTGGAAGAAAAGCTATGATAAACCTAGACAGCTTATTAAAAAGCAGAGACATTACACTGCCAACAAAGGTCTGTCTAGTCAAAGCTATGGTTTTTCCAGTAGTCATGTATGGTTGTGAGAGTTGGACTATAAAGAAAGCTGAGCGCCAAAGAATTGATGCTTTTGAACTGCAGTATTAGAGAAGACACTTGAGAGTCCGTTGGACTGCAAGGAGATCAAACCAGTCCATCCTAAAGGAAATCAGTCCTGAATATTCATTGGAAGGACTGATGCTGAAGCTGAAACTCCAATACTTTGGCCACCTGATATGAAGAACTGACTCATTGGAAAAGACCCTGATGCTGGGAAAGATTGAAGACGGGAGGAGACGGAGATGAGAGAGGATGAGATGGTTGGATGGTATCATCAACTCAATGGACATGAGTTTGAGCAAGCTCTGGAAGTTGGTGATGGACAGGGAAGCCTGGCAGTCTGAGGTTCATGGGGTTGCAAAGAGTTGGACACAACTGAGCGACTGAACTGAACTCAACTGAGGATGAGATTGTGCTTACTGGTTATTCTGTGGTCTGTGAGGGTTCTGTAAATCATTTCTACTATCTTTTCCTCCCATTCTTGGCTTCTTTTGAGATTTCATTAGCATAGACCTCAACTCAGCAATAAAACTGGCCAGTAATAGATAATAGTACAGCCTGGCCTAAATATAAAGCTACATAAGAAAAAATATAGGTAAATGATTCAGATCTTTAACATATTAAGAGCTCTTTTCAATCACTGAATAAAAAGAAAGATAACCTGATTGAAAACTATGGAACACATAAAGGGAGGAGGAAAAATAGCCAAAGAGGGTATTAAAATATTCCTCTTTTATTTTCTGATCAATGTGACAAAGATTTTAAGGTAATACTCAGATCTGGTGAAGGTGTTTCTTATACTGGGCATTCTCATACACCTCCATAAGCTTCTAAAATTGCTTAATTTTCTAGATGTAAGTTTGGCTGCATTAGAATCTGCCTGCAGTGCAAGTAGACCAGGGTTTGATCCCTGGGTTGGGAAGATCCCCTGGAGAAGAAAATGACAACCCACTGCAGTATTCTTGCCTGGAGAATTCCATGGGCAGAGGAGCCTGGTGAGCTGCAGTCCATGGGGTCACAAAGAGGTGAACATGACTGAGCAACTAACATAAATGTCTTTAAAATATTCATTCTGTTGGATCAGCAGTTTTCAACTGGAGTCATTTTTGCCCACTACAGGACATTTGGCAATGTCTGGAGATATTTTTGGTTTTCACAACTATGGTCAGTGTGTGCTACTAGCATCTAGAGCTAGATAGATACCAAGAGTGGATAGAGACCAAGGATGCATCTCAACATTCTAAAACAGGAGAGTCGACACGAAAAATCCATGGCCTGAAATGTCAGCAGAGTGGAGGTTGAGAAATGATGTCTTAGACACCAAAGTTCTACTCTATTTACCCAAACATTAAATGTACTTCATGATTCATTTATTTAATCCTTTTTGGAGAGCAACAAGTCACTAGCTTTTAAAAATTAACATGCATTTACTCATAATTTTTAATAGATATCTATCTTGGAAATGCTTGGACATGTGCATGACAAGGCACGCACACACACTGATGTTCTTCTTAGCATTAATTTCAGCAGTGGAATTTTGGAAATGACCAAATGTCAATCAGAGGAGTAACAGTTAATATATGTGCATGCTCTGAGTACCAGAGGATTTGGCTATCTCACCACCCACTACTCTTTTTCTAAGGTCCTGTCCTCCTTTAGAGAGACTCCTATGCAGTAGATAGGCTTGGTGGAAGAACTATTTCCAAGACTCCATTCATCCCGTCCTTTTCCAGTTAGAAACCAGAGAAAAAATGATTTCTTTTCTGATCCTTTGGTCACATGACCTGTTTGTCACATGACATTACTTTGGCCAATCAGATGGGACTTTAAATCTTTAACCAAGCCAGAGCCAGAGAAGAGTTGAAGACCAAATCCGTGAGTGTCAGCAGTGGTGGCAGTGGGAGGTGTCTATGGCAGTTCTTGCCGATTGATGGCACTGGACCTCTGTAACTTGGTCCACCAGAAAGGCCTTCTATTCTGTTATTAAAAATAATGGTGATGGAAGGCCCGGCGGTAACCCAATAGATAGACACATTAGATATCTGTCTGTAGAGAGTATCCCAACTGATATGTTAGAGAATTATAGACAGTCATTAAAAAGGAAGATCATCAAGACATATTAGTAAGTGTAAAATCAATAACATTCATTCACTCAAGGAGTGTTTGTCAAGACCTTCCATTATTAATCTCTGTGCTCTGAACAGGACATACCTAGTGTCTGCCCTCATGGAGCATTATTTAAAATAGCAAAATATCAGAAATAAATTAAGTGCAACAATAGTAAAATGAGATAAATTGTAAATTATGGCACATGTATTAAGTGGAAGAGCTAACTTCCACTTAATACAGAAATAAAAAAAAATTTTTAGTAAATGTATACTATCAGTTTTTATATGTACATATATATTATATATACTAGTTGAAATAACATGAATATATTGAGTATATGTGCATATTACATATAATGAACACCATAAAACATTAAAATTATATATACATTATATAAATAAAATATGTAAATATGTCTATGTATATATATCTATATATCTTTCAAAAATTTTCATGTAATCAAGAAGAGGTATAAATACTGTATTACAATGCTGGCAGGATTCAATCCTGAATGTTGGAAGTTTTTTGTTTGTGTTTTCTAAATTTTGAAATCTGTATATGTTGTTTTTATAAACGTAAATTTTATTATTTATAACCATAAAATTATTTAAGATAAGAATACAATAAAACATTTGAAATTTCCTAAGCCCATTTTATGACTGCACTAAGCCACATTTATTAAATATTTGATATTAAGAATATATGTGCTAAATAAACAGATGTATCTATATAAAATATCTATAAAACATTTATGTTACTGAGTAAAAACAAACACCATTACTACCTTGCTTTATTTCTTTTTTTTTTTTTTAATTTATTTATTTTGTCACAACCATAGTGTATCTTTTTTTTTTTACACTCCTTGGCCTACATGTGCTGTGCTTAGTCACTCAATCATATCTGACTCTTTGTGACCCCATGGACTGTAGACCACCAGGCTCCTCTGTCCATGGGGTTTCTCTAGGCAAGGATACTGGAGTCGGTTGCCATGCCAACCTCTAGGGGCTCTTCCCAACCCAGGGATCGAACCCAGATCTCCCTCATTGCAGGCAGATTCTTTACCATCTGAGCTACCAGGGAAGTCTGTGAATACTGGAGTGGGTAGCCTATTCCTCCTCCAGGGGATCTTCCCAACCCAGGAATCAAACGTGCATTGCAGGCAGATTCTTTCCTGGCTGAGCTATCAGGGAAGCCCTCCTTGGCCTATGCGATCCTGAATTTTCCTTTGCTGGTCCTTGAGACATTAGCAGTTACAGAAGGGACTGTGGGCAATAGCTGGGTTGATTTCCCTCCCATTGCCCCATGGGGAGGGTCCAGCTGAGGTCTGGAGCAGTCAGCTGACACAGGAGTGTCCTACTAGAGAGCTGTCTGCATTTCTGGCCTCTGGAATCATCTTTCAGTATGCTCTCCATCTGTAAGCACACACTCTCACATCTTGTGTTAAGTGTACTCATGGTGGGATGCATGAAGCTTCTAACACCATCTCTTTTGTTTTGGAGCAGGCAAGGTGGGACCACCTCTTGATATCATGCTGGATGCTCTGAACTGTTCAGCTTTCAGCATACAATGGAAGATGCCTAGGCACCCTCTGAGCCCCATCATGGGGTACACTGTGAGTACCTGGGCACAGGGATTTCTCTAGTGGGTGTGTTTGGGGAATTGCACCTCCTTCCCATCATTGCTCCTTCTGTATCCGGCCTTCTGATATCAGCCCTCTCATAGAAGGGGAGCCTCATTCTCCCTCCATGAAACCAGAGGAGATGTTTCCCTTTAAAGGGCCTTTGCAAGTGTCCTAAAAGTCAGTTGGATCTACCAGGTCCTGACTCTGTTCAGTTCAGTTCAGTCAGTTCAGTCGCTCAGTCGTGTCTGACTCTTTGCAACCCCATGGACTGAAGCATGCCAGGCCTTCCTGTCTGTCACCAACTCCCGGAGTTTACTCACACTCATGTCCATTGAGTCGGTGATGCCATCCAATCTTCTCATCCTCTGTCGTCCCCTTCTCCTCCTGCCCTCAATCTTTCCCAGCATCAGGGTCTTTTCAAATGAGTTAGCTCTTCACATGAGGTGGCCACAGTATTGGAGTTTCAGCTTCAACATCAGTCCTTCCAATGAATAAGGGATGGAGTAGCCGTCATAGTCAACACAAGAGTCTGAAATGCAGTACTTGGAGGCAGTCTCGAAAAACGACAGGATGACTGTGTTCAGGGATGGGAAAGTATAAACTCAGTGGAAGACATGCTTCTTCTTCTCCAATTGCCCACAGTCAAATCTGGAGACCAGAGCAGATACATGGGAAATGATACAGGTAGTCACTGTCGTCAGTAAGGACAGAATAATGTAAAACCTGAATGAAAGTGATGGGGTGGACAGGTAAAGTGGAGAAGGGGGCAGAGAATGCATTCTTACCTCTGAGAGGTGCAAGATTGGCCTTTTAAAAAATATTTTCTTTGAAAAGTGTTATTAAAAATGAGTCAGCATTTTGAAGATGGGAAGTTTCAGATAAATTCTTGGAATTCTGAAATCTCTGTGCATATATCCTCACCCCAGGCCCACAGGCCTGCTGGAGCTGAGCTATCCAAGGGCTGTAAACTCCCCATGAGACCCCAGACTCCCTCCTGTCTCCCGTTCACCAAGGGAGAGAAGGCATTTATCCAGCCCTTGTCCTGTCATCATTTTAATGCAGAGAAATGTATTTCTGAATTCAGGCAGACGCAAAAGTGGGAAAATGAAAGACTCCCTGGGAGAATGTTGATTTCAGAAATACTGAAAAATACTAGAAGGTGGGTCAGCCCTCTCCACCCCACTTTACAGTATGTCTTCTTCCCGGCTTCTATGGGCTTAGGATTTTGCGACCCCAGCCGGGTTATGTCTGATGTTTGCTAACTAGGGGCTGGTGTGTGAGAGGTGAGACAGCTCACATCAAGACCCACTGTGGTTGTGAGTGCAACCCCAACCGTGGGTCCTCGGTCTGGTAGAAAAGGCCAGCCCTGCTCTCACCTCGGATGTCTGCCTCTTTTCCAGGTCTTTTACTCTGAGGTCGGCGTAGACAAATCCCTGCGGGAGCAGTCCTATGGTGTGCCGCCCGGCCTGGATACCCCGACCACTGTGAGTAGCTCCATCCTGGCAGCGCCCCCAAAAGCACAGCCTGAGAGTGACATTTCACTGATGTTCAGAAGGATTTCTAATTTGGTGTGTATGTGTACTGCTGTCTGTACAATAATAACTGTTGGTATAATCCATTGGAATTTAGAATGTCTTTCTTGTTCATAACCCCATCACATATATCTCTATCCTCAGAAAGGCAGCCGTGTGAGGAATGTTTCCATGGACTCAGTCCACCCCATTTATCCTGCGAGAAAACAGCCACCTTACAGCTGTTTTTTCCCCCTTCTTTTCTCTATAAAATTCAATTCTGTTTTTTTTTAAATCTCAATAAAGCTTTATAAATAAATATGACACATTTATATCTTCTCAACTGCCTGGAGACATAATGCAGAAGAAAATGATGTAATTGGAAATGTATATTCAAATGGTGCAAGTTGTTTGTTTTTCTTCTCCAGCCGGCATCCTGTCCTTCCACTAAGCAACTGCTGGCTCTTTATCTATTTCTCTTCTGTTTCCTGTCAAGGTCTCTCGGGGTGAATTTCTCTGCCTTAGGCATGTTCTGTTTTCTTTTCTTTCACTTGCCGTCTCCTTCTCCGTTCCACTACAATTAATCTACAGACTAGAGCCTTTTTAATTGCTCTGCAAGGAGTTAGCACCACCGCCCAGAATACTGCAGCTTTAATAGCATTGGTGGCAGAAGTGATGTCTGTAACTCCTGTCTAGTAAATGCCTGCCGGGCGCTGCACCTAGAAACCTATTTGTCATCCGTGATGAGTAACCATCACTTACTGAGCATCTGTCATCTGCCAGCCACGCTCCTTCATGCTTTACATTTCTTTTGCCATTTAATCCTTACAGCTATCCTATGACCTGACACGGATGCTGAGACTCGGGGAGGTGAGGTGACATTCTTCAGATCATACATTAGCAAGTAACAGTCGACTGTAAACCCAGGGCAGACTGCATTCTGAGCCCTGCTCTGGCTATTTTTACCAGAGCACTCATGACTCAAAAAGAAGAGATGCATGTCTTCAGCTTGCTTGTATTTTGCATGCTGCTTTTATTCTCAGACTTTTGCTTAAGTACCCCTCAGTTGCCTTAGAAGCCCTCAGCCCCAGCTTCTGTGGTTTATTCTGTCCTAAGAGGGGGCAACTGGGGTGGCACCACTTGTTGTTGTTCAGTCGCTCAGATGTGTCTGACTCTTTGCAACCCCATGGACTGCAGCACGCCAGGCTTCCCTGTCCTTCACTGTCTCCCAGAGTTTGCTCAAAGTCATGTCTATTGAGTTGATGATGCTATTTAACCATCTCATCTTCTGCCCCCACCTTCTCCTTTGGCCTTCAGTCTTTCCCAGCATCAGGGTCTTTTTCAATGAGTTGGATGTTTCTATCAGGTAGCCAAAGTATTGGAGTTTCATCTTCAGCATCAGTCCTTCCAATGAATGTTCAGGGTCGATTTCCTTTAGGATTGACTGATTTGATCTCCTTGCAGTCCAAGAGACTCTCAGGAGTCTTCTCCAACACCACAATGCGAAAGCATAAATTTTTTGCCACTCGGCCTTCTTTATGGTTCAACTCTCACATTTGTACATGACTACTGGACAAAACCATAGCTTTGACTATACAAAACTCTCTGAAAAATGATGCCTCTGTTTTTTAATAAACTGTTTAGGTTTGTCATAGCTTTCCTTCCAAGGAGCAAGCGTCTTTTAATTTTGTGGCTGCAGTCACCATCCAGTGATTTTGGAGCCCAAGAAAATAAAATCTGCCACTGTTTCCATTTTTTCTCCATCTATTGGCCATGAAGTGGTGGCACCAGATGTCACGAACTTAGTTTTTTTCATATTGAGTTTCAAGCCAGCTCTCCTCTTTCACTTTCATCAAGAGACTCTAATTCCTCTTTGCTTTCTGTAATTAGAGTGGTATCATCTGCATATCTGAGGTTGTTAATACTTCTCCTGGGAATCTTGATTCCAGCTTGTGATTCATCTAGCTCGGGATTTTACATGATTTACTCTGCATATAAGTTAAATAAACAGGATGACAATATACAGCCTTGACGTACCCCTTTCCCAGTTTTGAACCAGTCAGTTGTTCCATGTCTGTTGTTTCTTGACCTGCATACAGGAGACAGGTAAGTTTGGTCTTTTTAAGAACTCTCTTTAAGAACTCTTTAAGTTCCATCTCTTTAAGAACTTTACAAAGTTTGTTGTGATCCACAAACTCAGAGGCTTTATTCTTTCCATTAACTCTACCTACATGTTAGAATATGCTACCACATTTTAGTATTTGATTACCTTGCTGATTTCAACAAATGTTCACAGTTGCCACTCTGCCCAGCACAATATCACATATGATTGCTGTTCTTGGGCAGCTTTTGGGAAAATCACATTTACACTGGGTCTCCCAGGTGGTGCTAGTGGTAAAGAACCTGCCTGCCAAATCAAGAGACATAAGAGACATGGGTTCGATCCCTGTGTAGGGAAGATCCTCTGGAAAATGAAATGGCAACCCACTCCAGTATTCTTGCCTGGAGAATCCCATGGACAGAGGAGCTTAGCAGACCACGGTCCATAGGGCGACAAAGAGTAGGAAGACTGAAGTGACTTAGCACACACTCACACACCTTTACACTAGATAAAACAATTAGAGAGCAACATGAGACCAGATTTCATTCACATGCCACTTACCAGATAGACTGAGGTTTTGAAGGTAGATTAGTGTAGGAACAAGTGTTCAAGAGGTAAAATTTGGGGCTGAGAATTGAAGCAGGGGCAGTTTCTGGAAAAGGCAAAGACAGAGGGGAATTCAAATCATTTGAACCAAGGGATTGAACACTCAAGTGTGCATACACGTTCTTGTGCTTGTGTGTTTGGGTGGGGGAGGGGGATTGCAGAATACACAGAGTGGAGAGAGGAAATGATGATTAGAGATAAAGACAATGAGTCAGGAAGGGGAGGGAAGAGGTCTGGAATAGCAGAGTGGTCTGACATGCATTCAGATTCCTGGATGGCAACAAATCACCTGGGTGACCTTACTGGGGCTCAGTTTCCTCATCAACAGGACAGGGATTTGAATAGGGTCTCTATCATGGGTCGTTGTGTCTGTGGTTCCTAGCCCGTGTACTATGGTCCTCCAGGGCTCTGTAGGAAACTCACAGGGGCCTTGTGGAATATTTGAATGTTGCCCGGGAAATAGCAACATCTGTGTAAACTACTACTACCAAATCTTTTGGGTATAACTATTGAATAAACGGAACTGTCAGGGAGTTTTTTTTCTGGATTAGTGGTGCTGCTAATCCAGTATTATTTTATACTGAGAACAGAAAAAGTTTGGGACCCTCTGTACTCTCTTCACCCTACAGCGTAAGGATGTTGTGGACATTAAACAAGGTCATGGTCATAGAACCCCCAGCACCACACCTGGCACAGATTAAGAACTGAGTGAGGTTCGAGAGGGTTCACATTGCCAAGGTGTGTGTTTGCTGCCCTTGACTGTACATGGCAGAAGGGCAGCTACTCTCGGGTTCATTTTAGTTCCTGCAAGCTTTACTTTCCTCTCCTTTTCATACTGTTTGTTTTTTCCTTTTTCTCTTCTCCAGGGACGATTGGATCATCAGATGATTTTTGTAAGTATGCTTCAAAAAGTTAAACCCTTGCCCCAACCCAGGAGTCAGGGGGTCTCTTTTCATCAAAATGTCGATCTTCCTGCATCTTCCTCATCAATTAAGGCCCACAGAGAGTGCTTGGTTTTAGTGGAAGCAGCAATGGCTGGGCATACGGGTGAATTTTTAATCATTTAGAAAGAAATGGCTTGTATTTCACCTGGAAGAGTAAAGTTAAAAGCAATATTTTTAAAGTTTGAGGTAATTTAAGTTCTGCTCCCAGACAAAGTGAAAAAGATTGAAAAGGAGAGAAAATATTTCAGTCAGCAAGCCCTCCTGCAGGAAGCGCTTCCCCACCCCCCTTCTTCTTTCCTCACTTTCTGTAACAATTCTAGACCTTGTCAATGAGACCAGACCAGGTACCTAAACCTGGTTGATTGACTTTCTGGACTGGTCGCCAAACAGAGGATTGGGTTGACAAATGGTTAGTCTGATTCAAATGAAGAATTGACCAAAATAACCTGGTGGTTGCTGCTGCTGCTGCTAAGTCACTTCAGTCGTGTCCGACTCTGTGCGACCCCATAGACGGCAGCCCACCAGGCTCCCCGTCCCTGGGATTCTCCAGGCAAGAACACTGGAGTGGGTTGCCATTTCCTTCTCCAATGCATGCAAGTGAAAAGTGAAAGTGAAGTCGCTCAGTCATGTCTGACTCTTAGCAACCCCCTGGACTGTAGCCCACCAGGCTCCTCAGTCCATGGGATTCTCCAGGCAAGAGTACTGGAGTGGGTTTCCATTTCCTTCTCCATAACCTGGTGGAGTAGGTGGAATTCTGATATTTTCTTAGATACTCTGCCTATGTAAAAGCTTCTGATTTGGTTAGCATTTGGTATCCACACTTTTTAATCCCATGGACAGAATAGCCTGGTGGTCTACAGTCCCTAGGGTTGCAAAGAGATGGGCACGACTGAAGCAACTTAGCACACATGCACACACCATCAGTTAAAAATTATTTGAACATATACCAGAGTACCAATATATGTATGTATTTGTAAATTATATATCTGCTACTCTACTAATATATTGTGTACATTCTAAAATCCTACCAAATTTTAAAGGAGGAGATGAAATAGAAAGTTCTTGTTTTCTTTGGGCGTTTCAGTAAATTTTGTCTTGCTAACTAAGGGGGAATAAACCATCACCCTGCTTTGGATTTCACTGGTCTGGCTGACCCAGAATAGTGATGCTATTTGAGTCTTACCCAAGGTTAAGGGATAAAGCAGACAGGAATCATGGGACTTGCATCTAGTCCCAGCTCTGTCACTAGAACAAGGGTAACTGTGGGGAATTCTCTGAGCCCCTGTAAACATCTCTTGACTGTAAAACAAAGGGGCTGGTTAGGAATGGTTTCCACCTGGGGGTTTCTTTGCTCCCTGTGGCATATGGAAACATCTGGGCATTCTAGTGATCAAGCCTCAGGGATACTGACTGTCCTGCAATAAGGGGAGATCCGTAGGAGGGAGGTTTGTTCGGCCCCAAAGCCAATGCTGCCCTTCTTGCAAAACCCTAAATGATACTCTAACTTTCTGTGACCCCTCAGGAAATGGAAATCCTTCCAACTCTTCCCCCCACTCTGGCCTGCCCTGCCTTCCTTGGGACCTTTGAAAGAAGGCTGTTTGGGAGATAACCCTTTTCTATTTCCCTGTGCCTCCCATCTAATGACGCTGAATATTCCCAACTTCTATTAAGGCAACCAAAGCACAGATTTGACTTGTGAAGTCAAATGTGATGTTGAATCCAAGGTCACTAGCCACTAGTGAAGGTTGTTTTAAAAGAATTACAAAATATCCGTGTTGAAACTCTGGCCTAGAGAAGTGAAGTGGAGTCCCTGAGAGCACACAGCGCTTTGGCCGCAGAGCCTGGGTCTCCTGGCCCCTCGTCCAGTGCTCTCCCACTTCTTGCCCCCTCTCCGCTGTGCGCACTGGATGCCCTCCTGTAGGGACAACCCGACCAGACTAGTGAACAAGACAACATCCAACTTCATTTCTGGAAAAATATGACTTGGTTTTCCAGCAGTAGGAAAAAAGTACAATATGAATGGGGTTAAAGGTGAGGTCTGATTCAGGGTCAGAGATTTAAGTTCAGAACCATTTAATACAGTTTCATCATTGCAAAGGGAATAGGGATTCAGTTAAGAATAGTCCTGTCTTTTCAGGGGCTGCTTTTACATAGCTATCTAAGTTGTTTTTGTACATTGGGTCTAGTATGAAGTAGAATGAAAGTTTAGCGGTCCCCAAACCCAAGGGTAAAGGGTGGCACAACGATAAAGAATCCGCCTGCCAGTGCAGGAGATGTGGGTTTGATCCCCAGGTTGGGAAGATCCCCTGGAGAAGGAAATGACAACCCACTCCAGTATTCTTGCCTGGAAAATTCCATGGGCAGATGAGCCTGGTGGGCTATAATTCATAGGGCTGCAAAGAGTCAGACACAACTGAGCAAACAGGAGCATGAGACAAACACAAAATCAGGTTATTTTGCAGAAGGCAATGGCACCCCACTCCAGTACTCTTGCCTGGGAAATCCCATGGATGGAGGAGCCTGGTAGGCTGCAGTCCATGGGGTCGTGAAGAGTCAGACATGACTGAGCGACTTCACTTTCACTTTTCACTTTTATGCATTGGAGAAGGAAATGGCAACCCACTTTGGTGTTCTTGCCTGGAGAATCCCAGGGATGGGGTCACACAGAGTCGGATACGACTGAAGGGACTTAGCAGCAGCAGCACCCATCTTCACTCTCTCTCTAAGAAAAGTTTGGGAGGGGCCAGAGGAGACTGTGGGATTCATTCAGGCTTCTCTACTCCAGGAGAGCAATTTCTTTTTCCTTGTTTTGTGCAGAAAGAGGTCCAAGAGAGATAGGTATTTTGACTCATTTTCAAACTTCCACAAGACAACAAAACACTTTGTTTTTCTACTTTGAAAAGGGTATATTTAGCATCTTATCTAGTTTGATGCAAGGCTAAAGTAGTTGCCATAAGACATTTAAGGACAGCAATAGAAAGATTTGTGGAATTATGCAGCATTTTACTAAAGAATTCAAGGGTTATCACAAGTCATACTATTTTGAGGGATTCCATTTGGAAGGAGAGCTGCAAGAGGAGGAAGTGATGGTTAAAGCACTGAATCCAGCTCCTCTTTTTTATAACCCCAGCTACTCAGTCCGCTTGACCTCACTCCCTTATGCTCACCTACCAGCCTGTCAGCTCAGGAAAAGACTAGAAAAGACTAGAAATAGTTTCTGGGAGGGTAACACTTCGCCTTTCAGAATATACCTGGGCTAAAGGTCATACCAATAATTCCATGTCTAACAAAAAATTAGTTGTTTTTTCATCCACATTAAGAACTTCTATTAGTGTAATTTCCCTTGATTTTTAATTATCACTTTTATATTTCTGATAACATAAATTTCCTTGTTTACAGATAAAATAATCTGATCTTCAGTGATTATGTTATAAATTTTTGTTGATTTAAGTATTATTTAATATTTTTCACTCAGGTATTATCCAATTAGAACTTTGTCCATGGAGTCAAACAAAGCAGGGTTCAAATCCCCACTTTGCCACTTAATAAATACACAACCTTGAGCAAATCATTCGCTTTTTCAGAGATTCAGTTTTCTCCTCTGGAAATGAAAATAAGAGTGATACCTACCTCACAGGGCTGACGGAAGAATTAAATCAGGCTCTGTATGTTTCTGGAGCAGATAAAACACTCAATAAATGGTAATTAATGGTAGCCGTGTTTGGTATTGATGCATAGCTAATATCTACAATAGTCTATAAAACCACATTGCCACCCTCATACTTCATACAGTATGATAACTTTATGGGAGGAAAGAATTCTAAAGCAAAAGCCTGTGAGAGCATTGGATTGGTTTGAAAGTGTATTTCTGCTTCTCTGGGAAAAGCCTGGGAGTGGCATTTGGGAGAGTGAGACAGCAGTCTTGTATACACCTGCTGCCTCCAGCCTCTTAACCACTCAACTTGACATGCAATCAGGAGACAGATGGTAGAACTAGGGTGCACAGATGCAGAGAATTAGAGCAAGGGTGAGGGTGGGGGCCATGGAGCTGGGAAAACAGGACCATATGTTCAGCAGAGACCCTTCATGCAGTTACATGTAGGATGGAGTCGTTGGGGAGAGAAGGGACGGAAGACGGGAGACCCACACCCCCCCCTGGAGGCTGTAGAAATGGCCAAGTAAGGATTCAAGGGAAATGAAAGGAGGGAGCCAGTCCAAAAGACATGTGGATGTGGCTGGGGACAGATTGATAAAAGGAAGTCAGCCTTGTCTCTGTATTACTAACTCCAGGTCTAGGGCAGAGATATAGAAGCTGATAATCCTGTTGGAGGGGTTATTAGGAGAAACTGGTTCTTGATGAGGTAATCTGTTTATGTCAGACATCTTGGTTTCATTTCTTTCATTCATTCACTAGTTCATTTATTCATTCATCATAAAAGCATCACTTGAAAATTTGCTCCATGTCTGGTAATGCTATTCTAAGCTTTGGCATGCCAGAGGAGTACGAACTTGTCTTGTGCCCTTAAGTGGGTGGGGAGAAGGTGACCAATGAGCAATTACAGTCTAAGGTGAGTGTTGCTACATTGAGGTACATCAAGGGCACCAGGGAAGCATAGAGGAGGGACTCCTAAGCAGACTGGGGTCTGGGGGTCAGAGAAATGAGGTAATGTCTCAGTTGAACTGAGTTATGAAGGATGAGCCAGGCAGACATGGAGAGAAGGGCATTTCACATAGAGGGGGCCGCAGGTTCAAAGGCCCAGAGGCAAGGAATTGAATGGCATAAATTTGAGCCCTGCCAAGTTCTTCAGTATGACTGGAATGTAGAATGTAAGGAAGGAAGGTGGCATGAGATGATGCTGGAAGAAGAACCAGGGGGATGCAAAGATGGTATCATAAGTGGAGAGTGATGTGATTGGATTTGGGGTTTAAGAAAATTGCTGCAGCAGTGTGGAGTCCAGATTGGAAGTGCAGAAAGTATTGGAGGTGTTGCCATCATTATGGGGACTTGGACTTAAATGGCTGTGAAGATAAAACGACATGGACAGATTCATGTGATATGAAAGAGTATTGGTACTCGATTGAATGATGGTTAGAGAGCAGGGGTGAACAAGTGTTGAGGATTTCTGGTTTGGGTAATGAGGGAGAGAACAGAATGGTGAAGCAGTTTTTTGTTTTGTTTTTGGTGGTTGGAGGAGGAGTGATTAGTTGAACTTTGGTTATGTGGAACTTGAGTTGTGTGGTTGTTGAGTAGAGATGCTCAAGAGGTGGTCATCAACTCATGACTGGAGATCAAGAGGCAGCTTAGAGGTGGGGATGGAGGGAGGTGTCATTCAAAGGTGCCAGAAGCTAAGGGAGCAGTAGATGAGCTTGCCTAAACAAGGCTACAGAGTGAGAGGAGATGGTGAGGGGTGAACTTCCGGGAAAGGCCAGCACCAAAGGGGCCAGCAGAGAATGGGGAGTGGGTGAGGGACACTTGAAAAGAGAAACAAAAAGTAGAAAGAAACGAGGAGGAACAGACACGGTTTCCAGGGGAACTGGGAGATTGAAGAGGCAAGGGTGGGTCACAGTGTTGAACGCTGCGAAAGGTCAAGTAAAGATGGAGACATCCCCACGTGGTGGACTGCAGAGCTGTTGTGGCGACTTTGGTGGAAACATCTCAGTCGTTTGTAGTGAGGAGAGGCCAGATGGGAGCGGGGTGAGGAGTGAGCAGGAGGTGAGGAAGTGGAGACAACTTCTTCAGGAGGGTTGTGTCTCTGGAGAGGTGACAGGAGCGCATGCGTGGTGGTGAAGAGTTGATGGCTTTGAAGATGGGAGTGACTTGAGCACAGTAATGAAGGATCTGGTAGGTAAGGGAGAGGTTGGAGATACAGGAGGAAGGGAGGAGAGGAGACAGGTGGAACTCAGAGAGGCAAGCCCAGGACCAGTGGTTCACAAACTTGGCTGCCCATATTAGCATCACCTGGTGAGCTTTAAACAGACTCAGGCCCTGCCCCCCAGAAGTTCTGATTTAAGTGGTCTGGAGTAGAACCTAGCATTGGTATTTTATTTGTAGATCTTTGAATGATTTTAAAATGCTTTCAGGGTTAAGGGCTACTATAGTAAGTATTCAGGAATTGGTTGTTGAATCTTTTTAAAAAGTTTTGTTGATCAATTGATTAGTTCTCCTTATCAACAATTAGTATTTAGTCATTTGCAGGGAATGTTGTGAAGAAATATGACAGGATGCCTGCTCTCAAGTGGATTGCAATCCCATGGGAGAAATAGTAATAATTTTAATATATGAAAGTGCTAATTTAGTGGCGTAACACTTAGTGTGGTAAGATTGAGCCTGTGTGGTCAGGTGTCAAGGGGATATTTGGGCCTCAGAGAAGTGGCAGGACCTGGGTAAGCGGAGAAGAGGAGGAGTTTCAATGTCCAAGACAATAATCATTAGGATCCTGTTTCTTGAGGATGGCCTTGGAACCAGCGACTTTACATACTTTACCCCAGATGTCATAACTGTGCAAGATAGTTATCCATCATCCCCATTTACAGAGGAAGAAACTGATGCTCTGGGTATTTAACATGAAGGCCACAGCTAACAATAAGTGTCAGAGTCGGGATTCAAGCCCAGGACTGATAGATTCCATGTCAGTATCATTTTCTCTACAGTGTGCTGAGACCAATGAGACCCAGGCTCCCACTTACTATATAGCACTGTAGCCTCCAGTTGGGGCTTCCGTGGTGCCTCAGATGGTGAAGAATCTACCTGTAATGCAGGAGACTTGGGTTTTATCCCTGGGTCAGGAAGATCCTTTGGAAAAAGGATTGGCTACCCACTCCAGTATTCTTGCCTGGAGAGCTCCATGGACAGAGGGGCCTGGAGAGCTACTGAGAGCTACAGTCCTGAGCATGGCACAGGGTCAGACACGACTGAGCGACTAACCACACAGGCACACACAAGCCTCAGGATGGAGTGAGTCCACTTCAGCTGGTTTCTTGGTCAAGGCTTCTGTGCAGGTGCAGTTTAGACACACACATTCCTCATCAGTCCTAGTGGTTTTCAATGCCAAAGTGTTAGTCACTCAGTTATGTCCAACTCTGTGACCCCATGGACTGTAGCCTGCAAAGATCCTCTGTCTATGAGATTCTCCAGGCAAGAATACTGGAGTGGGTAGCCATGCCCTTCTCCAGGGGATCTTCCCAACCCAGGGATCAAACCCAGGTCTCCTGCATTGCAGGCAGGTTCTTTTCCATCTGAGCCACCAGGGAAAACCCCACCATGACCCACCAGCAGCATCGCTTGGGGACTTCTTAGGAATGCAGATTCTCAGACTGCTTCCCAGATTTACTGAATCAGAAACCTTGGGACCCAGGCTTAGCAATTTGTTTTAAGAAGCCCTCATGGTGATTTGGATGCAATTTGGGTACCGAAGTTTGAGTCCCTCCTTTATGGATGCAAATGAAGACCTCAATTTGCTGTTGTGGCTAGTACCTGAGCCTCGGTGATGTGCAAATGGAAAGAAAGGTCTGGGGGATTCCAATCCTGGAAAAGATCCTTACCTGAATTCCAGCAGCCTAGTACTCTTAAGAGCAACAGCTGATAAGGTGAATGAGTCCCAGTTCTAGGACAGTGTATATATTCCAATAAAAAATAATTCACTAGTCTTTGGAAATACGTCATGGTGCTTTTCTCTTTGCAAATTAAAATACTTGGCCAATCCTAGAGAAAGCAAAGGGCTTCCCAGGTAGCTCTAGTGGTAAAGAACCTGCCTCCAAATGCAGGAGCCATAAGAGACGTGGATTTGATCCCTGGGTCGAGAAGATCTCCTGGAGGAGGGCACAACAACCCACTGCAGTATTATTTTCCTGGAGAATCCCATGGACAGAGGAGCCTGGCAGGCTTCAGTCCATAGGGTTGCACTGAGTCAGACATGACTGAAATGACTTAGTACACATGCACATAGAGAAAGCAAAACAATCTCCCAAGCAAATTTCACAAGGGCCTCAAGATGCAGCCCTCATGGAAATTGTCTGGTTTGCCTCAAAGGAACTTCTGATCATTGATACATTTTATGTTTGGTCATCGACAGGAGGAAGTGATCGGAGATTTGAAACCAGGCACTGAATACCGCGTGAGCATGGCAGCTTATAGCCAAACTGGCAAAGGACGGCTTAGCTCTCCTCAGCATGTTACCACTTTGCCCCAAGGTAAAATGAGTCTGATTCATTAATAATAAGAACTGTTATTTAGGGCTATTCATTCATTCCTCCATTCAGTATATACCAATGAGGACCAACTCTGTGCCAGGCACTGTGCTACATCAGGCTCTGGGAATTCAGTGGTGAACAAAAACAGGCAGTTTTAACAGCCCCTGCCCTCTTAAAACTTAGTGGGATGGTTCAAGATATTATCTATTTATGTGTGGCCATAGATAGTGACAAGTGTTTTCCAACATGATATAAGATCTTTTGTAAGGTCCGATGTAGAGGGGGCAGTAAGAATTCCCTAAGGACATAACTACTAAGTAGAGATCTGATAAGTGGGAATTAAGAAGGTGAGGAAGAGGGGTGGGAGAAGAGATTTTACAGGCCAGGGAAATTAACAAATGCTCACTGAGGTGGTGCTGTGGTGGGTACTGGGGGACAAAGGTGGTTTGAAAGCATCATTGCTCTCAGGAGCTCCCTGGGGAGGAAGAGGTGCATGGTTAGCATGTAACTCAGTGTACCTGAGTCCACTCACGGCTCTGGAGCACTCAGAGGGAGCACTTCCTCACCCTAAGTCTTAGGAGGATTTCAGAAAGAACCATATCTTTGGCCTGGCTTTTGAAATCTGCATAAGAATTTGCTAGGAAGAGGAGGCAGGAAAAATATTTCTGGCCGAAGCAACAGTGTAAAGCTGGCAGATGTGAAAGTCTGAATATGAAAATAGTAACAGCAGTGACCTTGGGGTGATAGAATCATCCTACATCTTCACACATGAGAGCTTTTCCAGATGTCCTACCATTGGTATGTATTCTGATGATGGGGGTGGGGGGAAGGGAGGAGATCCACATACAGAAGAGTGGAAAGTAAGTGCCATTACATTAAGCTTTTAATTTTCCTCATAAGTAAATGTCAAGGGGCTTTCCTGATAGCTCAGTTGGTGAAGAATATGCCTGTAATGCAGGAGACTCCGGTTCAATTCTTGGGTCAGGAAGATCTGCTGGAGTAGGGGATAGGCTACCCACTCCAGTATTCTTGGGCCTTCCTTGTGACCCAGCTGGTAAAGAATCTGCCTTCAATGCAGGAGACCTGGGTTTGATCCCTGGGTTGGGAAGATCCCCTGGAGAAGGGAAAGACTACCCCTTCCAGTATTCTGGCCTGGAAAATTCCATAGACTGTATAGTCCATGGGGTCGCAAAGAGTTGGACATGACTGAGTGGCTTTCAATTTCAAGTAAATATCAATTCTAACATGCGCACAGAGGTCTTAAAGGGTACACAACACTGTGTGTCCTGGGATCAGTAGTCTGCACATAATTTAATTTAGTCGGATTTCCAGCCAGGGGTGCTTGGGGAGGAAGGGAAGATCAGCTCTCATTGATAAACCTTATGTGAATCCTGGAGAATCCAGTTATGGTTTTTGGGTTGTGCTTATTTTGGTTTGGACTTTGAGGGCCTGTTCTGAACAGAGAGGTTTAGGCTGTAGAAAGCACGCGTTTTTTGGACACATGAAACCTCTCCAACAGCAAAGACTACAGCCAACTCCAGTTGTTTGCTGTCCTGCCTAGATTCCTGCCTGCCTCCAACAGCACCCCAGCAGCCGCACGTCATTGTGGTTTCTGATTCCGAGGTGGCCCTGTCTTGGAAACCTGGAGAGAGTGAAGGAAGCTCTCCTATTCAGTACTATTCTGTGGAATTCACCAGGTAAGTCTGTGTGTCACATTCAGAAGCTAAATGTACTGACCTCAGGTATTCCAAACACCATAGAAGTCTCCATTGCATGTGTATTAAAGAGATGACAAAGGCCTGGAGGCCTGACTTGGGCTAGCACCAGTCTCCAGCTGTCTTTGATAGTGGGTCATCTGGTAAACCTATCTATACCCACCTTACCTCTTCCCAATTTCCCTGCCTCAATCAGACTGTCCCAGCCGCTGAAAACTTCTGAGGTACCACTGCCAACAAGCTTTTCAAGCTCACCACTGCATTTCAAGCTCAAGACATAACTCCCTGGCTCTGAAATATGATGATTGAGGTGTATGTTTGAAGGTGACTTTTCTCAAGGGAGAGAGGAAAAAACCTTTAAAAACAAGTGCAATGCATTGTTTCCTTTACATCCATATTGCTGTGGGGCAAGTTTCTTGGTTTGGCTTCAGCTTTTTTCCCTCATCTACTCCAGCTCTCATATTCAGCTCATCAGAGGGTAGAAGAGTGATTAGAAGTTCTTCTAAGAACTTACAGATGTAAAAACATGGATTCTCAATGCTGCTGTGTAATTTTAAGCAAAAACAAAAACCAGAAGAACACCCTAACCAAGCAATGAGCAAAAGTAAATTCCTATCTAGGACTCTTCCTTTGAGCTCTAGTTGCAGCTAAATTTTGAATGGAGTGCCTAGCTGAGGAAAACACAGTTTGTGGAGTTGGTGTTCTCTACATTAAAAGTGACAGGGTTTGTCTGAGGCCAGTTGCTTCATGGATTCATAAAGAGACTTGTTTAGCATCTCATTCCTGAGGCTCTCTGAAGCTGGGACAAAGGATTCTGGCAAGATTTGATTAGCTCTGCTTCCGTTTCTTGACTTCCTAGCCTATTTTTTGGTAGTCAAAACAGATATTTGTTTCTTCAGAGAAGTCCCGCGCTGAGTCTCTTTAATGCTTGAGAACAGAGCTCATTTCAGGAGGGACTTATTGAACTGCAAGTGGCAGAAGCTTGAAAGATGAGACCATCATGTCCTGGTCCCTGTGACGGTCAAGTCCTGTGAAAAAATCTCAGTTCGAAGAAGACGAACTCTGTGTCACATCAGCAGTCTGCCTCCCTCCATCTCTGTGCTGTGCTTCCCCCTTTTTGGGCTTTATTTTCAGGCTCTTTCAATAGTGTCGCAAGATGGCCACCAGGCCCTGAAAGCTTGCTGTCTCCTAGCCTGGCTCCCCACTGGAGAAGAGTGGCTCTTTCTCAGTGGACCCATTGGAGCCTTAGCATTTACTCTAGTTGGCCAAGCTCTGGTCCCAATCATAGTGGCCAAGGAGAAAAGTATCCTAATTAGCCAGGCACTTATATTCTGAGCTCTGGAACTAAGGACTGGTGGGTCACTCAGATCTGAAGTATACGAATTGAGGGTTCCTTAAGGTTGCATCTTTAAAGGAAAATTGTGCAATTAATGGAAAAGAGAGGACCCGATGCTGGGAAAATTTAAAAATAAATAAAAGATGTTCTCAGCAAAGCTCCAGACCAATGCCCTTCATTGAAGATAATCTACAATCCTGCTGTTGAACAGATTTGGTAGGCAAAGCCCGGAATGTGCCTACAGTAGAAAGATGCTAAGTCTGATTTAAATAATAGTAAAACTGCAACTATAGAAGGTCTTAAAACTTAGCTTTCTCATCTGTAAAACTTAGTGTGAAACGTATAATTTCTAATTTACTTGTCCAACACAAGCAAAGCAAATTGTAATACTTTGAAATTTTGAAAAAATGTGCAATGTTTTTCATAGTAGCCCAGCAGATCATCTCTGTAACTTCCAGCAAAGATGATGGCTATCATTTACTGTTAATTTTGTGGTAAAACCTGTGCTTTTTAAAAATTTAAGTCTGACATATTGGTAAAAGGTGAAAATTACAGTTTCTTCACCTGTGTGTGGGCTTCCCAGGTGATTTAATGGTAAAGAATCTTTGATCCCTTGGTCGGGAAGATCCCCTGGAGAAGGAAATGGCAACCCACTCCAGTATGCCTGCCTGGGAAATCCCATGTACAGAGGAGCCTTGTGGGCTACAGCCCATGGAGTTTCAAAAGAGTTGAACATGAGTTAGGGACTAAACAACAACCCGTGCCAACAAATGAAAGGAGAATATGAAGGATGGATTTAGAACCAGAACTGGAAGGGAGTGCTTGCTGCCTCTTCTTTCACCAGCAGGGGGCACTGTGTAAGCCACTTTTCCTCCTTTAGCCACACACAATGCCTTCTACAGTTTGAAGTCTCCAAAAGGAGAGTGTTTTAAGAGGACTTGGGTAAAAATAGTTTACTTTATTTGGAAGAGGGAATGAGAAAGTCAGGAGGGGGATAGAGGACATACGACTTGTGTTACAGAAGTCACTTCTACAGGCAATGGGGTTTCTATAGGGGTCTGACTCCATGGAGTTCTCTTTGGAGCACAGACTTCCTCTTGAATTTGCTTACCAAAAAGACAGGAGCCATTTTTCCCTGGTAAAACTTCCCACCCTTCCAGGCTTGGCTGGCCTGTGGATTAAGGAGGTAGGTCTGGGGATCGAAGGAGCAGTGATGTGAGCACAGTGTATGCTTTAGGTTCTGCGCTGGCCTTGAGAGGCAAGTTAGGCTCACAGGAAACTGTAACGCAGCTGCTGCTGAATCAGAACAAGGGCAGGTGACACAGGCCCCAAAAGCAGTGACTGCGATGTCCTTATATGGGTGATAAACAAACATGGGTGATAACTTCTTCCCGCCTTATAGTGCATCATGAGGAGGACCAAGTAAATTCACATACGAGAAAGAACTTTGTAGATGTCAAAAATCTAAACAAGCGTAAGGTGTATATGGGTGTTATGTATCTACATTTAACAATTATAATTCTTCAACAAAAAATGCATCTTAACATTGAGAATGTTATTACGTCTAACATTTGAGAAACTCAGGCCCCGAATTCTATGTATAAATATTTTAAAGGTATATACCATTTTAACAAACTGTTAATTTTTTTTTTTATGTTCATCTTAACAAGTATGTCTTTACAATGTCCTGGAAAGCTAGGTTCAAATTGAAGTGTTCCAAATGGAATATGGTAGAATGGGGAAAGCTAGCTTCTGGTTCCAGCTCCTATACTAGGGATTCTGCTTCTGTTATCTCTTCTGAATATGTGCTCTTAGTCAAGTTAGTTTATCTCAGAACCTCCATTTCCTTATCTGTAATATTAAGCTAATGTGATCTTCATTGAAGAATTGTTGCTTATAGTCTTCAAAAAGTTTATTCATAGTAGACATTCTGTATCTGTTTCCTTTTCCCCACACCACTATTGCCCCTTTACAAAGAAAGAAATTGGGGCTCAGTTGCTTAAGTTGCTTCGCCAAGGTAAAATGACTGGTTAGGGACAAAAATGAAAATTAAACCTCAAGTCTCCTGATTTCCAGTCCAGTGCTCTTTCTACAAAGCCCCACGTTCTCTTCACGTGTGTGATCCACCTTTGGAGAGGTAAGCATGGACTCAGCCGGCCTGGAGCCCTACTGGCTTAGGAAATGGGAAGCCTCGTCTTAGGCTGCAGTTTGCTGTTATTCCGGAAAGAAAGCTCTTGCAGCTTGTTGTGCATTTAAAGTTTGGCTGCAAAATAAATCCTCACATTCATTTGTAAACATCTCAGACTCTATCCCATTTCAGTCGAGAGCCTGAGGATATGTGTTTAGAGAGAGCTTTCCTGGCCTCTCAATCAGAAACTGCAGTTAGTGTGAGAGAGACTTTGGGGGTCTTCAGTTTTCTTTTTTCCCAGAGAGGTCTGTTTAATGCTTAACATTGATTTTTTTTTTTTTTTTGCCCAGATACCTCCTGTGTACAAAAACACCCATGACAGGTCTCTGTGTGAGCCAAAAAGTTTATTTTATATCCAAAAGGCAGGCTCTTGACAGCCCAAGGCTAAGAAATTGTAGAATCAGTGTATTGCCAGTGGTTATCCTCAGGTTTCACCTTCCTGAATCTGAAGTTCTTGCCTGAGTTCTATCACTTGGAAGATGAGATTGCAGTCCTCTCTCTTGGTAGGCGCTTATACATCAGTTGCTCTTCTTATTCAACAAGGATAATGATATCAAAGGCACTGTCACAAAATAGACTAAAACGTTTCTGAGGAAATATTTAATTGGCTAATAAGAGGAAATATTTAATTGGCTAATAAGAGATTAACCTGAAAAACTATGGATGGGCTACTGACTGATTTTCTGCTAGTTGTGTTCATATTTGGACATTTCATGTATTTGTGATGCTCTGAAAGGGGGCTTCCCTGGTGGCTCGGAGAGTAAAGAATCTGCCTGCAATGCAGGAGGCTCGGGTTCAACCCCTGGGTCTAGAAGATCCCCTGGAGAAAGGAATGGCAATCCAGTATTCTTGCCTGGAGAATTCCATTTGGACATTTCATGTTATTTGTGATGCTCTCTTAGGTTATGGGCTTTAAGACCAAGCAAAGTTTTGTTCCTAATCCAGCTTCTACCTCCTGTAAATTGGAGGATACCTACACATGAGCACCTTAAACAGGTCCTCTCAGTATCAGAGGGAGAAGGCAATGGTACCCCACTCCAGTACTCTTGCCTGGAAAATCCCATGGATGGAGGAGCCTGGTAGGCTGCAGTCCATGGGGTGGCTAAGAGTCAGGCAAGACTGAGCGACTTCACTTTCACTTTTTACTTTCATGCATTGGAGAAGGAAATGGCAACTCACTCCAGTGTTTCTGCCTGGAGAATCCCAGGGACAGGGGAACCTGGTGGGCTGCTGTCTCTGGGTTAGCACAGAGTCGGACACGACTGAAGTGACTTAGCAGCAGCAGCAGCAGCAATATCAAAGAAGAGGTTTGGTTTCTGGCTCCGGCAGGATGAAGCGTTCAGATGAAAATAATCTTTATAATCTCTCCCAAAGTTGCCCTGGGGGCTATTCATCAGCTTCCTTATTTACAGTAGATTTTAAATTTTTAATCAGTGTAGAAAATATTTGAAGAGGCAA